AAAAGCGCCTTTGTGATATGGTCTAGAATAATAATTGACACATTAAAGTACAGGAATAGAAAAAAGTTATTAATTTAAATATTTTATCGTATCTCAAAGAGCTAATGTAAATTTTTTTAAACTAAAAAGTCAGTATGGCTAATTTCCTTAAACGTGAATTACAAAAAAAAGCCGGTTTACCCATTTCTGCCGCCAAGCAGGAATGTAAACATTACTGCATTCCAGTTCCGAAGGGCATGGGTGCTAGTGAAATTACAGGCACATGGGACTTGTCAACTTATGTCTCAGGGTCACGTGCGCAGTGGCAGTAATCTTTGTGATTTAAAACTCTGAGTACTCACTCGGAAACTCACTGGTATCATAAAAAAAACTTGATCTAAAGTTGACCTTAACAGCAATACGTAATTGCGAAATATTTGCGTTCTTTAGATCCCCTGCTGTATCGTTATTACTAAAGCTTATGAAATTAATGAATAAGATATTTGAGGATTCACTTTATAAATTAATTCTGTAGAAACACGATTAAGTAGTTGTAGTTTCCTGGATAGAAAAAAAATCCGAAATTATCACTAAAAAAACAAAGCTGTTTGTGTATTTGTGTATATTTAGTATAGTGTAATTTAAATTTACCATTATTGTTCTTTTTGAATTTAATTTTTAATATATTTTTTTAATTGTGTTGTTCTATTTTTATGACATGCCATGGCAGAATAACAGCGAGAGCTATGTAATTAGCATAGTCCTCTAATTCTGAGTCATGGACCTTTTTGACATGCTTTTTTTTCTATTATTTCTTTTATTATTTATGAACGAATTGATATTTTATAATTGTTTATATTTTATACTGTATTTCGCATGTCAAATAAATACGATTTTTATTTTTAAATAAACCCTTAGTACGGAGTAAATACTTCGCGAAAGATCATCTCAGTTTTTAAATAATAACAAAACTACATATTTTATAAACAACCTGTACTCTCGTACATTTTCAAATAGTGTATTTTGTTTATACGAAATAATATATAGGTACAGGGTCAAGAGCCCATCAAGCAAGGTTTAAATTTAAATCTATCCCGCTTGCATTAAAAACGGTCCAAAGTCCATTGTCAAGCTTGATGTACTCTTGACTGTACCTAAATTGGCACGCAATCCGCTCATACTAGCCAGAGTCGCCACGCTTCCCTCTGTCCTGCTTTGGCTGTTGAACGTGAAGGTTATATCGCTTGGACTTCCATACAGCCTTAAAAACCTATGCCACACGTACAAATACACAAAGCACATAGAATACCTACAATCAATTAGCGCCAACAAGGTATGAAACCAGTATTACCGCATTTGAATTATTGACTGACCTTTAGATGCATGCCGCGTGCACTATTGGCGTCTATAGTAGAGATGCTACGAATAGTGATTTGGCCGAATACCGAGTATTCGGCCACGCTCTCGGCCGAAAATCTGTGCATTTCACGCGCGACCTGATACGACCGCTCATTGCGTTGCGTGCGGGAGTTTTTGTTGAAAAATTTGGGTTGAAGTGTTTTTGTTAAAAAATTACAAAGCGATAGAATCAATACTTGACAGTTTCTGGACCTGTTTTGATGAAGTCTCTACAGTTAATATGCAAAATCATGAGGATGTGGAGAAAAGTTCTATTGCACATGAGATTGATTTTTATTTGAAAACTATTCGCCTAGATCGGACGGCAGATCCTTACAAGTGGTAGTCAATAAACGCAAAGCAGTATCCAAAATTCGAAATCAAAATTCGCTAAAACATCGTCTTCTAAAAGCGATCTATCGTCTCCTGGCAGTAGTGTTTATAATGATAGGCTATCTTCAGAAGCAGGAATTGTTTAAGAGGAAAAGCGCAATCGTTTGTTAACAACCAATCCTGAAAAATTGTTTTCGTTCATCACAACCTGCCACTGATTGATTTTATGTATTTAAGCTATAATTTGTGATTAAAATGATACATTTTGAATAATATGTGCTTTTTTCATTATTTGATATTCGGCCGAATAGGCCGAATACAGAATAGTAGCATCTCTAATCTGTAGTATAGTCATGCATAGTAATATTCGCACGTGAACATATTTATAGTAACCCTAAACCACTGGTCACCTAAACCAGAAAGCTTAATTTAATTTTTTTAACCGACTTCAAAAAAGGAGGAGGTTCTCAGTTCGACTGTATGTTTTTTCTTTTTTTTGTATATATGTTAGGGTTATAGGCTTGTAATCCAGATATTTCTGTATTAGTAGTCAAAGACATATGCGTATTCATAAGTACAGTTGTCAAAATATAAAAGGTTATTAAATAATTCTATTCTGTGATTCATCAAAACTTTTCCGAATTTGAATGTGGGCAAATATAAAATTATATTAGTATGGTGCAGTTTTTGTAAAATATTTCTCATACATTCCACTATTTTACAGTACTGTTGTGTTTCATGAAAACCAGCTTGGCCTATGAATATGACGCAGTAATCATCTAAGGTGACATTTTTTATTTTGTGTTCTAGTCCCATTGACTTACAAATAAATGGACGACGGGTCTAATACAAAAACCACGAAAAAAATGTCCCAAGTCAACCTATTTAAACGTAGTGACATGTAAAGGAATATGAAAAAGCTAAAACGTTGAATTTAAATTGTAATATCATCGCAGTACTGTCTAATTTTGCTTGCTTCGCTGTCAGTCGAACAAACGAAGACTAAAGCGTGAATGACGCTCTGTATACGATTTTAACGCCCTATAACTTCGGACACTTTTTAGCGCGGACCCGACGTCCATATAATTGTAAGTCAATGTCTAGTCCATTCAGAAGTTGTAGAACTCCAACTCGGGAAGTAAGGTAGCGACAAATTCTTTGGTTTTTGAAATTCTCAACTGCAAAATCAAGTATTCTATGTTGTCTATTTGTACTTAATTTTTTTACCTGGCCGTTCCTTAATCCCTATTTTTGAAGAGCTTGCAGGATTTCGTTGCTGTTTTTGTGCTTCTATAAGCTCGGAAGATTGTAAATTTCGAACTTCAATGCTTGTATTGACTTCCATGTTTTCATTAGGTTCATCTTTTCCTGAATCAATATCTAAGGTTTTCTTTATTTATTCCACTTTATTTGCATTAATAGTCCGTTTTTTTCCAGATTTTTTTCCCGAACTTGGGGTGCCAATTGGGTTTGACTTCAATAAACTTTGCAATTGTTTACATTTACATTCCTTTTTGTCGAATAATGTTTTTAATTAATAATTTTCCGCTAATAAATTTTCTATTTCTTGTTCTGCACCTTGCAGTTTAAGTTCTAACTCAGTCAATTTATCTTTCATTTTTTCTAATTCCGTGAAACAGCTTAAAGTTCGCATTTCAGGACAGCTTTGGTTCAGCTCAGTTGTTTCTCCAGGTACCGAATCTTCCCATTTTTCATCACCATCTGATTCCACTAACAGAGAAGCGAACGAGTTATCTATCGAAACATTAATCCCTGTTTGGATTTTTCGGTGTGTGGCATTCTCGCTCTGTTCGGAGTTCCCTATTTCGAGATCTTGTGTAGCATTTTTCGCACTTCCAATTTTCTCTGTGTGAACTCGTTAATGTGTTAAGAAATCTCATCTCCGAGACAGGTAGTACAGTGTAGATTAATTATACTGTTTCTCGCAGTGTTTGCAAGCTTAGGGTTTTTCGTAATTTGATCTCTACATTTCGGACATATAGGAGCCATTTTTGGAAGAAATATGTAGGTGCTGCCTCTCTTGGTCACTTATAGTACCAAAATAGATTTTTTCTCTGCCTCTGTTGGTAGTTTAGTGTATTAAAGTATTGCAGTTATTCGTCAATAGATCGTACGTAATGTGCTGCCCTCTAACGGGCAGTAGCAGTACCAGAATTAAATTAATGTGACCGTTTAGTTTAGCTAGATTACACTAGATGGCTTAACAATTTTTATTCGATGTAGTATGAGAGTCCAAAGTCCAGTTTCCGATAATTTTAACCGATGGCCGTTGAAAATCGAAATTTCAAAATTTATCACGGTAATCACCAATATTATCACAACATTGTCCACCGTATGGTCCGTCAAATCCCTCTCAATATTGTTATACATATATTGGCGTATTTTGTTGAAGGGATAATGATCTAAACACTGATAAAATGTTTTGTTTATTTTTTCTGCTTACTGGTCACATGACACTTCACAAACACTAATCCAATAGATTTACATCATTTTACTTATTACTGTATTGGTTTTTCACTTCAAAATTGCACTTTTCTATTTTTACGAAAATTTTTAGAAGGAGAAAGTATGTGAACATGAGGCGCCCTCTAGCGATCTGTTGATTTTGCTATTGTCCAATTCAAGGCGTTTTTCTCTCTCGATATACTTTGATAATTGTGAACCGATTTTTATTATATTTTACTGGCGAACTAGGGTATGAATCCGGATTCGCGCACTACCCGGTAACCGATTTCAATAAAACATGGTAATTATATGCAATTCCACGTACTTTCGTGATCGATTGTTTTAGTACTCTGTACCGTGATTTTTTTTTTAAAAAGGCACCGACTACAATAATATACATAATTTCATTAAAGAAGAAGATATCCATAATATTAACCTTAGAGCTAAATCCACGGAAAGAGAAGACGGAAACTAAAAAGGCTGTCAAAATAATTGTTTCTTTATCAAAATTAAACTTAAAACGATTTGTATGAGATCGTTTCAAAAGCATGCGATCCGACAAATCTGTAGATCGATTCAGAGTGATCCATTATGATTCGAAAAATGGATTCAAAGCAAAAAATCGTGCATCCCTACTAGTTTCGGCGTGAAAACGTAATAGACAAAGTTACTCTCGCAATTAAATTAATTAATTTGGATTGTAAACAGCTTTTTCCTATCTACCTGCAAACACGCAAACAATATAAATCGTATATTTTTTTATGCCTTATCTGCAGTTTCTAATAACACTTTTACTCAGCCAAGTGTTTGTTTATAAAAGATAGTTAATCTATTAAACGTTGTAAGTATAGTGTTTCATAATGCCTTGTACAAGATATACAAATTAACTTCGTAATTTTGTTAGAATTATAACTCTGATAAGTTTGATAAATTGCTTTCTTGACGAAAATTTCATTATGTAAGTTCCTAACCTATTCTTCTTATAAAATTCCTTTTTTTTTCGTTGGTAAGCAGTAAGAGCTCTTTATTACCTATGTCTGCCGCCGAGCAGTAATGTCAGTAATACTGCATTCCGGTTTTGAAGGTTAAGGGTGCTGGTGACATTACAGGCACATGGGACTTGTCAACTTGTGTCTCAGGGTGACGGGCGCAGTGGTTTAGTGCCCCTCAGATCTTTGCGATTTAAAGCTCTGAGTTGCACTGCAACTGCTATGAACCGGCGTGTCGCTTACCATCAGGCGCACGACTCGTTCGTCCCGTCACTTGATATTATAAAAAAAATATGCATGTGGAAATTATTATTTAAGCAATCACCACTTTAAAAAAGGTGCTTGTATATAACCAGAAATAGAGACGAAATAAGGGCTATCCATATATATATCCATTAGAAAGCTGATATAGTACAGCGCCAACAACTGACCTGTATGTACGTCTCCGTATATTCCAAAAATATTCTGTATTTGTTGTAATAAAGATAAATATCTCTAACTATGAAGGGCTGTTCCATTCGGTGGTGTGGGAACAACAGCAAAACATCTAATTACAAAACAAACTGAATCACATTTCATCGGTAAAATTAAATATTAAATACGTAATTTTGCAATTTTCGTCCATTATAGCAAAGCTCAAGTTTCAACTGTCAATTGTTTATATTCGATGTATCGAATATAATGGTCCTCAAACACGCGTATATAACATCCTCCTGAATAGTTAAAGTGGCCTTGGTTGTTTGTGGTGTTTTTTTTTATAAAAATATTAGTTAAAATATAAGCGGCACTTTGCCACTTGCATTCTATCTCTTTGGTTTTTTGTTTTATAGCTTTTGGCTTTTTGTTTGAGTTTGTTGTCATGAATTGGAAACAAAATTTTGGTTGAGTTTCGTTATTTTGTTTACTCGTAGAAAAATAACCGTAATAACGCACACACTCAACGTAACCCCGCATTGGAAACCCAGGGTCAAGGGTGCATCTGTGGTTAAAACTATGATGTTTTATTGGCAGCTTTGTGACTATTCATTCACTCAGTTCGTACTATGACGCGACTTTAACATTAAAGTAATATTATTCTTATGTCAAATTTAGCAATCTTAGAATAGTTACTCGGACGCAATGGAAATAATATTATTTTAGAATTTATTGTCTAAATATTGATTTGTAATGATTAAAAGTTAAATTGAACTTATTTATTTACATAAATCTCTTCAATATTTTGTTTATTTTTTATTTTTTTTTATTTAATTTTTATTTTTTATTTATTTATTGTATAAAGGACAAAATACACAAATATGTTTCTAATTTAATAGTACATCGTTTCTCGTTAAATAAAAATACGCGATGTTTATTTCGTAAAATTATGACAGCGACATCTATATGCTCCTTGGCGACAATAACAGTTGACACTTTGCTATAATTCCGAATTCACAACGCCTCACAGTGGGCCTAAATTGATAATTCTTGGACATAGGAATAACTTATGGACTATCGAGTTAATTTTTTTTATGTGATGGATAATGATATTCTTAACAACTTTTATTCTTGCATAATTTCTTGAAAAGTTGATAGTTTTGGAAAAAAAATATTTTTTTGTATGGAGAAATAAACATTTTATTTTTTATCTCGAAATGTAGGAAAATGTAATGTGTGTGATTTATTTACAGTATAGGTCCAATTATTCTCCGTCAAGAAAAAAATAATCCATTTGCAACTTTTCAAGAAATTATACAAGAATAAAAGTTGCTAGGAATGTTATTATCTATCACACAAAAAAAATTTGCTCGGTACTCCACACGTTAATCCAGTAAGGCTAGCACGATAAGGCGCGACAAGCGCGAGGGCGACATAAAGTGCGAGATACAGCTAATTTCGCAATAGAGATCTCGCGCTTTATGTCGCTCTCGCGCTGGTCGCGCCTTATCGTGCTAGCCCTACTGTGTCCAAGAATTATCAATTTGGGCCCACTGTGTGCCGTGACTATCAAAACTCAGATTGTTTTATTTATTTTTCTTTATGAAAATTCGAAAAATAATTGAAAACAACTTAATTTTAATAGATTTTATTATTACATACTTTTTTTTTAACAGTTAAAATTCTCTGAATGTAAACAACATTAAGCACTCAAAGACGGAACATCAAAAAAGAAAGAGATGGCATTATACAGTTCATATAGTGTTATTTTTTTCCTATTTTCAGTAAGGAAAAGACAATATATCTATGGAGAAATCATTCGTTCTGTCGATCACTTTTGCAATAATACATTTCTTGGTTGACAATTTCGTCATGGTACGAATATGAATAACATTATAATAAGCTTACTTTTAGCTTACATTAAAATAAGATTATTTTTGGAAAGGTTGTGGTAGGCCCCCAGTTATCCTAATTCTTAAAAAGGTAATGTATACATACCTTATGTTCGCAAAATTTTATCATCTCTTTAAAATCGTTTAAACTAAGTTGTTTGTTTATGACGAATTGCACGATATTGATTGAAGGAGAGAAAGTGGAACAAGTGAAAGAGTGTATATTTGGATTCTATGTTTACGTGTGGTGGAAAATGTGAAAGAGACATTGAAAGAAGAGTGAACACAGGGAATCAGGTGAATGGTGCCTTGCAGACCTTCATGGGCAGCCAGAAAGTGTCTAAAAAGGCACGATTGGCTGTGCATGGGGGGGTGCTGGTTCCTACACTTATGTATGGTAGTGAATGTTGGGTTTGGCAGAAGAAGCACGAAAGTAGAATTAATGCAGTAGAAATGAGAGCTTTGAGGAGTATGGCTGGAGTGACTCGGATGGATAAATTACGGAACAGTGTGATAAGAGAGCGTTGCGGCGTGGAAGAAGATATAGTGACAAAGATAGAGAAAGGGATTCTTAGATGGTTCGGACATGTAGAGAGAATGAATGAAAGAAGAGTGACGAAACAGATTTATAAGGCGAGTGTGAGCGGGCAAGTTCGTATGGGCCGACCAAGGAGAACTTATCATGACCAAATTGAGGCCACCCTAAAGAAGGGCCAGGTCAAGAGTACCCTTAACCGACGAGCGTGTATGAAAGCATTGATGCGTGTTGATGAGTTGATGTGTGTCAGGACCGTAGCAAGTGGAAGACTGTTGTCTCTGCTTACCCCGATGGGAAAAAGGCGTGAAGTATATGTATGTATATTTGTCAATTTTATAGACTAAAGTTTCAAATGCCCCTTTCTCCGGTGTTCCTCTTACCCCACCTGACCTTAATAAACAAATTTTATTTAGTAAAAATTCATGTTGTTATAATTTATAAAAAAAAAACAGGAACCGACTTCAAACTTTACAATCGGTTACCGGAAAGGGCGCGAAATCGGATTCATCCCCTAGTTTGCCACCCTTAGAGGCTTATTTTTTTAAATTTCAATGTGACCAGTACTGAGGCACTTTGTTTCCAACAAAAAAAGAATCCTCAAAATAGGTTCACAAAAGTAATGCCGTGACATACATACAAAAAAATAACGTGTGTTCTGGATTAAGTGAGCACTTAAAAAAAATATTATTCAAAAACCTTTCACATTAGTAGCTTGTTTTATATTTTACAAAATCATTTGTAACTTTTACTAAAAGTAGACGAGGACATTTAATTTTTTCATTTGGCATTTCAAGAAATCGTTCCTTTTAAAAGCGTGCAGATTGAGTGAGCATAAGAAAGTAGTAAGTGACGCAAACTTAATACTTTTGTAGATCTGACTGACCCATTGTGGGAACAGAATAAGCACACATTAAGTTATTTTACTCTTGTGTTATATTTTTTACAAATAGAAAGTTTGGTTTCTACAATTATTTTAGAAGTTTTACTAAATGACTAATATGCTGCTCACTCAATCCACACACACGTAATAAATGCATCCAAATTGAGAACCACCTCTTTTTGAAATCGGTTAAAAAAATTACTAAACGTACGTACCGTAAATTGGAATGTACTTTGGTAATTTATAGAAGTTAGTATTCATAGTAAAGTGAAGTCAGGCTTTTAAATAAATTGGTGTTATTCGTTTTCAGCTGATCTCAGGGCTGCGTGTAGAGGTGCCCGAGATAAAAATGAACAATGGTATTAAGATGCCTGCCGTGGCGTTCGGCACTTATCTTGGATTTGATCAGGTATGTTTTTCGAGGTTAATACTACTGCCTAGTAACTGAATAGCGGTATTTTTTTTACTACTGACAAGACATTACACACATACACATACACTTTACACACGCTGAAACACACAATTTAGCCTTTAGAATTGTCTTACCTACTTATAAGTTATTATTACTATTCTATTTAACTTTTGCAAAGCTTCTCTGAGCTGGAATTAATAAGAGGAGTCATTAACCTTAGCCTAGAGGGAGGGAGCCTGGTGATTAGTCATAAAGAGATATAACCCTAGCACTGACACCAGACTCTCACAATGTGCATGAAAGTACAAAAGTCTGTATTTTAGTCTTAAATAAACCTTGTGAGAGTAAAAAAATATCATTCATTCATTAGGATTTTTGGCTTGAATACAAGTCCTTTAAGCCAGGTCTTCATTTAGTTTTCGGAACCTTCATTAAATGTTTTCTATTGTGTTTTTAATGTACTTGTAGATTAACGAAAATAACTTTGGGTTTTTTAAATAGTCTTTTAAATGGCGGGAGTGTTTTAATATTTTCATTTTTTTATATTAATATTTTCACTTTCATTTAAACCACTTAGTTCACTTGCTAATAGAAGACGTTGAATTATGAACACGGCTCTTTTTTTTTCTTCGTTTTTCATTTCTTCTTGTATTCTTTCATATCGATTACCTTATAAATCTTGATCCTTCTTCTAGAAACGTTTCCATAATGTTGTCATATCATTGCTTATATCCGTATAACAATCGGTGCATGGTACAGGTACATACAATGAGCTCAATATAATCTGAATTGAAAATTTTTAATTTCAAAACTTTTAGCGTCCGCTCATCCGACATTCGCTTGTTCTAATGGCGTTTTACCCGACGGGGTAATTGTAGAAATGGGCAGTGGGTTTTAACCTAATCAGCCCGCCCGGGTTTTAAAACAATTTTACCCAAAATCGGTGGCAGAAATGGCGAATACAAAATTCCATACTTATTACAAATTTCTATGTAAAAAATATTTTCGACGAAAAAGAGGCAACCCCACACAATATCGAACTTCATACGATCTAACCATCTTTTGTATCGAATGGTAAATCCAATATTCTAGATCAGAAACCTAAAATAATAATATCATGAAATTTGAACAAAACTCTATTTCCAACAAATGTTTAGTTGTAAGTAGTTTTTGCCATCGATGGCGTTAAAGTGTTTTAACTCGATTTAAACACGGTGTTAACAAAGCGCCGGGTTAAAACCCGGACGCTTACCTATCTCCGGGTGATCGAATTTTTAAAAAAATCATTTAATGTGTATGATTTGATTACACAATTGAAGGGGAAACTTATACCACAAAATGGAAATTTGAAAACGGGATTAGGAAGAGAGAGAGAAAAGGGATTCAGCAAGCAAGTATGAGATAGAAATAAACAATAAACATGTAAATAAACGCTTGAAAGGCAAAAGGTGTTATCGTCATTTGTGTCGAAAAATCAGTATCGGAATCAGAAGATTTGTTTTTTTAGACTAGCATAAAATATGTTTATGATATTTATTTCTAAAATAGTATAAGTAATAAAAGTAAAAATAAAAATTTTTTAACGATTTTATGTCTAAATTTTCGCATGTAAAATCGCTCGCGTGAACAATTTAAAAAATGGCGTATAAAAGGCTAAACGTCATTTTTTAAATTGTTCACGAGAGAGATTTATTTATTCCTTTCAACCGTCGTTATATACGTATCATCATTATCAACCCTTTTATATATCCCACTACTGCTCATGGGTTTCCTCTCAGGCGAGGGTTTTAGACCTTAGTCCGCCAGGCCGGCCCTGTTAGTGTCACCAAAATGTTTTTCTTCAAGGTAAAGTATAAAATTAAATTAAATTTCGCTCATAAATTCTGAAAAACATACTTAACAGATGGTAGGTCAAACCATTTAGCTACCATTGTGGTAACCTTGTGGTATACAACAGCTAATCTTTTTCAGAATGGCGTTGTAACTCCAAAGAACCACGAGTTGCGCGACGTTGTCTCCAAGGCGATCGACATCGGGTGGCGTCACTTCGACACTGCCGCCATCTATGGAACTGAACAGGAATTAGGAGAAGGTGTGAGAATGAAGATTGACGACGGAAATGTTAAGAGGGAGGACATTTTTATTACCACTAAGGTAGGTTAATGCCTCTCAAGATCTTTCCGACTTACAGCTATGAGTGGCTTTGCATTTTTGCCCTACTTATCATAAACAACGCATTTGTATTTTAGTATCTTTCGACTTTTTTTGTTTTATAACACTAAGTGATGGGTCGATCAAGTCGGGCGCCTGGTGGTAAGCGGTAGCCTATCCATAACAGTTTAAATCGCAAAGATCTTATGGACACTGCCACTGCGCGTGTCGCCTTACTTATTTCTGCCGTCAAGCAGAAGTGTTGGTGAAATTACAGGCACATGGGACTTGTCAAGTCAACTTATGTTTCAGGCTGACGGGCGCAGTGGCAGTGCCCCCATCGTTATTTGTCTGTGGAAGCACTAACTTTATAATTATTTCTTCAGCTCTGGAACACCAAACATAAAAGAGATCAAGTCGCTCAAGCTTTGAGAGAATCATTGAAGAATCTCGGATTGAATTACGTGGATCTTTATTTGATACACTGGCCTATTGGACTAAATGTAAGTACTACCGTGCCGTAAGAAGCCGTAGCCTAAGGGTGGTTTCACAATCTATGCGTACGGTCCGTGCCGTATGTCTGCCTGCGGGCTACTACACAGAAAAAAAGGATTTCTACTAATAAGAAAGAGCAATTTCTCAAAATATTTGCTAATTCTGAAAAAATATTTATTAAAAGTACGTATAATAACCTACACAGTAATAATGATATAGTTAATCTATATAATACTCCCTAAGATGTGGTGCTACCATCGCATTGGTTGGACACAGAGAGTCACGACCGAAACCGTGCTTCAGCACATTCATATGTCCTGGAAAATGATGCTGTCTATCAAAACTAGTGTATCTTTGTCACTTGATCAGGAACGATAGGTACACGCTGCTACAGCTAATAATGATGGGCAAAGTGCAGGGACAGAGACGCGCTGGTGAACCGGCATTACCTCCGTCGAACAGCTGTTCCGGTTCGCTGCTGATAGAGACAAATACAGGAAGCTGACGGTCAACTTTCAGGATTGAAGAGGCACTCTAAGAAGAATATAATACTCCCATTGTTGGGCATAGGCCTCCTCTCACAATGGGAGAGCTTGGGCTGTAGTTCCCACGCGCGGCCGCTGCTAATTGGGAACTTCATTTTGATATTTTTATGAAAGGGAAATGCGAAAAATGACAAAATGTTGTGGATCAACGTGACCACTTACCTAATTAATTAAACTTACATTTTTTATGATTTTCATTGATACTTGATACCGCATGGACTTTTTGGTCAACTCTATGTGACAAATCTTCATTTACGTTTTTCACAGGAAGACAACTCCCACTCTGCAGTAGACTACATGGAAACATGGAGAGGAATGGAGGACGTCCAGAAATTGGGCTTGGCAAAGTCCATCGGTGTTTCCAACTTCAACAAAGGGCAGCTGGAACGGGTGTTGAAAGAGGGTAGTGTTAAACCTGCTGCTTTGCAGATTGAGGTTCGTTTTTCATTATTCGAAAAAAAACAAAACATTTTCTTCCTGCATTATAACAATAGAGACAACGCCTGGTAGCGTTCGGATGGCTGCGTAGGTTTCACCCCACAATAAATAGATGGACAAATCTAAACAAAATCATGGATCCACAAAGAACAGAATGTTTCTTGAACCTATGTTCTTTTTTTACATACTTCTTTACTTCGCTAGTTCAGCGACCCGACGTGGATCGTTGGACGACTGTCGCGTCTAGCCTGTTCCCCATATCCCGACTATATGTCGTGAATGTGTCGTGGACGATTATTTTATCGTTGAACGGCTGTCGTGTCTAGCTGTTCCCATTAGATCGTGACGACAATTTACCGGTCACGGCAGCCGCTTTGTGGTTTGTACGACAGAATCGTTTGAAGATGCGATTTTCTGTTGTCACATTTTTAGCAGCAGTAAAAGGCCATAGCCTCCGAGACTACGATGCGCTCTTCTCTTGTCTGTGTCGTTTGTTGCCGATCGGCTATTTGATGCTCACACAGGTCTTTGTGGACTTGGTCGATCCAGGGATATCTAGGATGTCCAACCGGCCTTCCGCCAGTCGGTTGCCTCTTAACTGCACGATCTTCACCTATCCTCTCGACGTGGCCTAGCCAGCTAAGTCGGGCTGATTTGGTTTCTCCCACGATGTTAGCCTAGTTTACCAGATCCTCGATATGTACATTTTTCCTCATTCACCAGGCTCCATCTTCTTCCCTAGTCTGTCCCAGAAGCTTCCTAAAGATTTTTCTCTCCGCCACCAAGAGCTTGTTCTCCTCCTCCAACGTCAGCGTTGTTTTTTTTTTAATTGCTATAAAACCGCTAAGATCCATTCTGTAAAAAAAAGAAAATTAAAATAACAGTAATCTATTTCTCTTATTCGAGTACAGCTGGATCAAAGGAATCTTTCTTTTTGTGTGTTTCTATAATAATGGTGGCACTTTACATAGCTATTTGTTTTCGCTATTGGGTATTTGTTGTACTTGGAACATCGAGTATATAACCAGAAATAGAAACGAAATAAGGGCCATCCGTCACTGGCAACTCATCAGGTAAATGGCGGGGTCGCGCAAAGCGGGATATTACGGTACAAATAGCTATGTCAAAAGTGTAAGAAAAAAAACTAGTGGACTATTTTCACAAAAAAATATACGAATGTCATCGTAGTAAAAAAAAAACATGATATTTAATAAAACGAATGTTGCAAAATGAAAATAAATTTTAGTTTTTGGAAGTTGGTTGAAGTGTATGCAGCGTCTCTGGTGGTGGAATACAGCAGTTTTTGTATATTCAGGGCTTAAGATTCAGGGATATGTTTTTTTTTATAAACATAAGTGACATGACAACTATCGCTAATGTCTATTCAGTGTTGCTATTACCATATTAAGTTACAGTTTATTTGTCGTTTTTTAACAAATTTATTACAGTTCGAGTCACAATTACATGTTAAAAAAGTAAACAAAGAGGATAACCGAGCAAAAAAGTATATTTTCAATGGTAGTTTTTTATTTTTGACAATAATGAACATTTAGAACATTTTTCAAGCTGTAATCTATTAAAACTTAGAACAAAAATTTACATTTGAATACAATAATTGTAATAAAAGACTATGTTTAATTTCGTAAATAATTTTATGACACTGGTAATACAATCGGGATCAAAAACATTTTTGTGCCGCCATTTTATCGTGTCGTAGATGTCATTCTCATTCTTGCCTCGTTTCTCCAACTCGAATGTTTTCTTGTCTCTTTAGTGCATATGTTAAATTATTGTTTTTTCTCCATCTCCATTTCACCTGATGGAAAGTGACGATGAGGTCGACGATGGAGCATGCACACCCAAATAATGTCTATTCAGTCTCGCTTGAAAAGGTCTAAGTTATAGCGTTCAGGGAACAAGTCTGCAGGCAGGGAATTCCGTTCCCTAGCCGCTCGCCATACAAATGTGGAAGCGAAACTCTTCGTATGAATCCGGCGAATATCCACAACATAGGGGTGGAACCCCAGCCCACGTCTAGACCCCCGATGATGGAAAGGGGGAGGCGGAATCTAATTATGCAATTCCATCGCACACTCTCCGTGATATATCCTGTAGATTACAAATAAGCAGGCAACTCTACGGCGGTGTTCAAGGCTCTGCAGCTTCGCCTCTACTAATTTCGAGTCACCTATAAGCCTCTTAGCACGCTAGTCCATTGAATCCAAGTGTCGTTGTTAAAATATTGTTTATTGTTAAGATATTGTAATAGATAATTAACATTGTAGAATATACATATAAACCGCCTTCTTTACCTATTCCATTAAAAATATAAGGTTTAGCACACCTGCATTCACACTTTGACAGTCACATTTCTTTGTTTACATTTTGGATATCTAATTATGATTCATACTATAGTTCCCTTTTTTACCACATAAACTGAAGCTACATATGTTCCAGGTTCATCCTCAAATAACACAATCTGAGTTGGTGGATTTCGCTCAAAGCAACGACATCGTCGTCATGGGATACAGCCCCTTCGGATCTCTAGTTAACAGGCAAGTGGAAACTGACATTTTTTAATGATATCAGGGACGAGCAAGTCATGGGTATATCCCTAACAGTGGCAGTGCCACTCAGAGCTTTAAATCGCAAAGTCTTGAGAGACACTGCCGCTGCACCCGTTAAAGTTGATTATTATACAGAAATTTAAACTATTAAATAATAACTACAATCTAAGATTCAACTCTGCACCAGTGTGAGTTGAGCCTTATAGTTAGAAGTCGTTGTTATAACGTTTTAATTAACAAAAAGTTTTTTCAAATATTAGGTATGATATGCCGTTGCCACCTCCTCGTATTGATGATCCTGTCTTGGTGGAGATAGCTGAAAAGTATGGAAAGACTACACCGCAAGTAGTTCTTCGATGGGCGGTAAGTTCTATCAACACTATAAGTCCACATGCCAGGGACGGATCTCTTTTATAGGAGAACGTTATGACCAGTATGCTTTGTCCAACAGTCCAATTGATTTCTGGCATTCCTTTGACGATGTACGAAACGATAAAAGTACAATTATTAGTCTGTCTTTTTTGAAGATGGGTAAAATGACATTTGTAGGGTTGCCAGTTTTCATAAAATTTTAAATAGTCATGTAGTTGTTGTCGACAGTTTTATCGATAGATTATGAAAGAAGGTAAGGTTTTGTCAATAATGTCTGAATTGTGTTGTTACGACGACGTTCTAATGATTACTAGTTGTAGTATTGTATTCTTCATTCTTATTTTGACAGTTGCCCTACTAGTATCGAAATAAATTTTTGTTCATATACATTTTAACAAGAACAGGCGGATTTGAATATATATTATGTTTGTATTTTAATAGACGTACACAACGACGAACTTGCAAAAATTTACAATATAATATGATAAAAATAAAGATGAAAATAAAATCGGCTATTTATTGCATTAGCGTGACCAATTTTGTCGATAGTTGTTAGAATATTTATCGACTGCAACCAACTAGCTGCTTGCAAGCGGGCTACACTTTTATGCAAATAACTGTCATTTTACTTTTCTTATTAATAGTTTTGGCTTGGATACAAGTCTTTTTAGCCATGTCTTCGTTTAATTATGTTTCTGTAAATATGGCCGCCACAAAGATGATAGGCAATTTGAGGCGGGGCGTGCTTGGATTGATTCGGGATTCCTTAGGACGGGCCGATATGGCTATTTTAGTTCGAGATTCGTATAATTTCGCGTTTTAACCTTCAATTAAGGCACAATAGCACTATCCTATTCCACTTTAAACTAGATTTCACAAAATAATTGAAAGTCAAAATAAAAATAACACTTTTCCCTCCAAAAGGCCCAGAGCGAATCCTGTCATTTTACTCCATCTGCAATAAATACAGATTATAATTTTATTCTTGTATAAATACTGAATTTACAATATTGAACTGAAAAATATAAAGTTTTACTGTCATGGAGGAATTTTATTAGTTCCTATATGAAGTAGAAATTTTGCTCTCGCTGAATTATATATATTTAACTTAATTATGTTTTACAGGTCGACAGAAACATAGTACCAATACCAAAAACAATGAAAGTGCACCGTTTGGAAGAAAATATCAACATTTTCGATTTTAAACTGCAAAAAGATGAAATAGACAAAATTAACGCATTTGACAAGGGTTTGAGATACACTCTGCCTTCTTTTTGGCAGTCGCATCCGTTCTATCCATTCGAAAAAATCGATAAACCCATTGATGATCCGTTTTTAAAAAAGGAATAGTGCACGTTTGTGGCTTTTTGTAACATTCTAAACTCCATTTTCGTTTAATTATTAATACAAAGATCGAACACTCAGAAAAACACTCAAACCGGTCGAATAACAAACTATAATTTCACAAAAAATAATTGAATATCAATTCAATAAAAATTTAATTCCATTTTGGTTTTTTAATTTTTTATTTAGATTACAAACTCAGGTCATTGTTACACACCATCGACGTAACCAAAAATTATGACTAGTTGCTATAGACTAACACTGCGGCAACGGAAAAGGTTGTTTAGTTGAGAAATAAAATATTTTTGTACAGTGATTTTTGTATGTAATAGCTTCATTAGGCTTGAGAGCCTGCGGTCTCAAGCCTAATAAATACAAATATCTAGATAGACGCCGCAAGTGTACGTACTTCGCGTGCCCAAAGTAAGTGAAATTCGCTTACTTGCCGCTGCTACACTTCAGAACGCGCTCGACCGTTATCGTAAATAAACACCGGCCGAAAACGCGATGCCTGCAAGTAAACAGGGACGTTTCCTTGCACGGGCAACTGATTTTGTAATCAGAAGATGCATAACTTATTTTAAAAACAATTATTTTGGTTTTGTACGAATTTGTAATACATTGCGACTTTTACTTGATGCGATATATTTGTGATCCTTTGTTAATACGCCATGAATATCGAACGAACGCACTTTTGTATAATGCATTCAGTTTCGTGATACGGCCGCTTGTACATTTCCTTGGCCAAATTTAACATTTAGTGATGTATACGAGCAACACTGTTCTCGATTCTGATCGATTTTGAAAACAAAGGGACGGAAATTATTATGATCTTAGCAATATTATCAAAATATTCTATAAGTCTTTTGTTATAACGTTTAGTTTTTTTTTCAGTTTTGTAGTATCTGTAATTTCGATAATTTTTGCAGCACGTCGCCTCGAATGTCCGAATATAGTGAGCAAATAATTATATACATCGCCAGATATGTAGTGCGAATAATACAAAAAAATATATTAATAGTGCAAAGATTAACAGTGCGCTGTCTTTTCAAAAACCTGGAGTTGGCCATCTGTACAAGTTCGTTGCTTTCGAGGACGAAGGTGGTCTAATTTATTCCACCTAATATGCTATCCAAGTATGCAGAGTAGCAGAGTTAGAAATCCGAGAAATAATAACAAATCACAAAAATATCACACGAGGCCGTCAATAAGTAAACCTCCTCTGGTTAATAAGATTTCACCATATTATACCCTATTTTGTCAGCAGTAACATTTTCATTTGTCTTGGTATTCATCAATTTGATCAATTACCAGCAGAAAACTATCTAGTAAAATTAATTAAGGCAGTCGCAAGTTCACATATTGACGTGCGTATTCATTATTTAACTTAATTGATAAGATCTTCTATTACAAAAAGATGTTATGTAATAAGCTCATTTTATTGGAAGGATAATTTCAATATTTGAAGTCGATTAAAAATAAAAACAAGTAAAATAAAGGACTTAACTATCTTATTCTAGTATTTTTCTATTATATTAATATTACGACTACTTGTAATCAACAAATACTTGAACAAAAATGATTCTATTTAGAATCGATTAATTGAATGGAATACGCGTGTTTACGCGTATTCCGTTCAATCAATCGATTAAGAGCCAGCGGAAGGAGGTTTCATCACTAAATAGTTCTTGGGACGTCATAGTGGGTACAAAAAATGTGGCACGCGTGGTTTTCATACAAATTGCTGTACTTGCGGCGTCTATCTAGTTAAATGTTTGTGCTTGACAAACAAATCTAATATAATGTTTATTTTGCATTGTGTCATTTAATATTATTTAGTGATTTAAGTAAACAAATAAATTTGTGTCCTATTTTATTTTAGAAATAGAATTCTCTTGGTGTGGAATCAACTTATCAAATATTTTTTACTTTTGTACCTTGTAAAAAATGTCATTTTGTATAAGTAACCGAAACTGTCGTTTTATTTCCATATTTTACAGTAACAGCAGTATTTAGCATACATGATTTTGACCGAAACAGATAGTACCTATTTTTTGTTTTTGTGTGTAATTTTGTGAGAGGCTTTCTAATTTTATTTATGTATTATTTAATACCTATTTTTTTGTTTTTGTATGTAATTTTGTGAGAGGCTTTCTAATTTTATTTATGTATTATTTTCCATATATCTTACGGCATACTAATAAAATTTATTTTTTTAATAAATATTTTTTGTTTTTATAACCCAATACCCTAAGCCCCGTGAATTTAAATATCCCGCTGAAATGTTAGGTAAGTTCTAAATGCCTAGGCGTTTTAAACGACGTTCATATTGGAAAATGCTCATAAACATATTCAGAATAATCAAATATTCCTAAATGCTATCATAGTTTTTTTTATGGTATTTTCAAAACAACTCGTTACGCCATTATGGTGTTTTTTATATGTTTACGTAATTTTTGAAAATTATTATGTAGACATTCTTGTAATAAAAAGAAAATTGTATAAGGTTTCTAAGCGCACGAAAAGTGACATCTCGCTTTTATTGAATGCTATTTTAAAATACAACAAACTTAACAGAGACAAACGATGTAAAGTTTATACATCAGCTATCTCTTTCTAAATATATGTATGTGGAATAGCGATTATAGCCAAACGCGCATTATTCAACGACGTTATTGTTCGTTCATCTTTTCTCACATCACGATTTGTCGCCGATAAATTGCGATTTCTTGCATTTCGCGTTGTATATAGTGTTTAAATAATTACTTCAGCGTGTGTGACATAATCAGCAATAGTGGCTAAGGTAACGCCGTACCCAAACATGAGTTCCGGGAGGAATAAATTCGAGGTAAGTGTAAATCGATTAACAAGATTTGTTTGTGTTTTCGTTTTGGAGAACAGCTGACATCGTGGTATTATTTCCTTTGTTCTATTAATTACGTATTTACTTCCTCGTGCAATCAATAGATTATCAGTTTTTAAACAATATTATCATGCATTAACTTCAACGTTTCGTGAGCATAAAGTAAAATATGAAAAGAATTTTGATAAACAAAGGAATCTATTTTTAAAATTTATATATTTTTTAAATTTCGGCTTTCTTCTTTTTCAAAGTCTTTCGTAATATTTTATGTTTTAATGTATTGAGGGCTACAGCGCGGTTTTATTCAGCCTCGTTTCGCGTCCTTTGTTGCCAGTATATTGACCTGAGGCCAATCAACTCTAGTATACCGTTATATTACGCCGACGACGGACTTACATTGTCCTTATTTTGAAGTAAAATTTTCTTATTACAGCATTGTTTCATAAATAAATAACATTATAGTTGTCTTTTTGACCATTTCATGTTCAATAAAATATTATTTGACCATTGTAGTCTGTATTTTTATAAAAATTAGTTTGAATGTATGTATTCTGACATAAGGGCAGCTCAGCCCAATATCAAAGCCCAAAATAAATATCAATTAAAAGATGGTCAGGTAGGAGAGCTAAATTTATGACTGAGCATCCTGTTGACACAGAGTGCTGAATACTCCTATGTGAGATCTTGCTTTCTGATAAGGATCAATATCTCTCATTTTGGCAGTGACAGATAAAGCAGGCTGGGTAGTTATACATATACATTACAAGGCCTACATAAATGCCCGAATGTTTCAAGGCTTTTCAAAATAGATTTAAAGTGAAAGAAAAATGTATATATGTTCGCAGCTAATTTTGGCTGGGCATCCACTTCAGCTCCAATATAGGCAGCAATTGTGGTCTCGCATGTGCCTTGTGAAGCCAATGATAGGACATTTGGCTTATATAAACAATCTGCTGGATTTTTAAATTCATTTGAATATATTAATCAAGATACTGCCAGCTCTTTAAGTCTCCAAATCCATTCTGTTAATAAAGGAGGAACACAATTTGAATGTACTATAAAACCTGTTTTTTTTTTTTTTTTTTTGGGTATTTGGCTTCTGTCCCACTGAGGACAATTCTGCCAGTGTCTGGGTTGAAAGATACACAGTATATTTATCAAGATTCACTCAAACGATGATGATCGGTTGCACCATCCTATGGACAAAGACAAAACACGGGGTTATTTGACTAGCTACTTTGGATGAAAACCATAAACACATGCTGTGCACATAGTAAAAGTTATAACCGTATGTTATTTTGTTCAATATATTTAAATAGAGTAAATAGTAGCGGAGGTTTTAGGAGAGAAAGGATACTATAAAAATTTGTGGGACGAGGGATACAATCTGGAAGAAGATATAAAACCTGTTAATAGGTGACGTAAACAATGTCATTTAACAGTGCAATTGAAAATGTGCTATTTCAATGATTTGTAAGGGCCTAGAAAAAACACAGCTATTTAAAAGTAGCTAGTGTAACCGTAGAGTTCCTTGTGAATATAAATACTGCCACCTTACTTACTTCTGCTGCCAAGCAGTAGCGTGAGCATTATTGCGTTCCGGTTTTGAAGGGTAAGGGTGCTGCTGAAATGACGGGCACATGGGACTTTTCAACTTATGTCTCAGGGTGATGGGCACGGTGGTAGTGCCCCTCAGATCTTTGCGAGTTAAAGCTCTGAGTGGCACTGCAACTGGTATGGACAGGTGTGTCGCTTTCTATATATCATAATTTGTTGGTTCCGCTGTTTGGTGTAGCATAGCTAGTAGCAAACAGACAAGATCAATGTAAGCTAAAATATCTAAATACGATGGCAAGATCTTATAGTTAAAGATGAGCATGTTGGTGGCTTGAGCCTCTTGAAAAAAATCATGGATACTTCATTCATAGAACACAGTAAGCTCACTGTGAGTCAGCAAGAGAATCATTGTTTTCAGGACTTTTTAGTACAAACTGCATTTCACATTTTTCTTCAGCTTCACTGACACCCAGTGTAACAAGGTGTTTTCCAATGTCTCATTACAAAATGCTGAGTGGATACCATTTTATATCAATATACGTTGCACTGCTGGACACGGGTTTCCTCTCAGGTGATGGTTTAGGCCATAGTCCGCCACTCTAGTCCAATGCGGGTTTTTTTTTTTTAGTTTAAAAGTACAGGTCAAACTTGTCAAGGTCTCTGCCATTGTGCAGACGGTAATAATGAGATATAGGTATTATTGTCGTTACAAAATTCGGTTTTGCTTTATATAAACTACAAAGTTTGACGGTTAATAGTACATTATTGCAGAGCGCGAGAAGTAAAGGATTGCTAGGACTAGTATGAGTAACAAAGACGTGCGTCAGCGAGGCCTTGTATTAATACGAGACAAGCAATCCCCGTTCCCGCCGAGCCATGTATAGTATTTTTCTCAAACAATGTGAGGTAATAATTAAAACTAAAGAGAGGAAGATTTATAATAGAAAAGTAAAGAAAAAAATTAATTAATACTAAAAGAAATATTTGACGTGTTAGGACAATTGCTAAAAGAAGATAATAACATTATTATTTTTCCAGGCACATTTTTTTATAAATAACGCACACACTCAACATAGTCCCGCACTAGGGAAACCCTGTGTCGCGGGTGCCATGGGCACATACATACACAACCACAAATTACACCCAAACTCACGAGAGAAATAAATGTAGGCCATACAAATATTTCTCCCGGCCCGGGAATCGAACCAGGGCAGTCTGGCATGGTAACCGTTCGGCCACGGAAGTTTAGTAGTCTGCTTAACTTCTGACGATGTTATCGCTCTTCCCACTAGCACTCATTTTAGCGAAAATACAAAAAAAGACGAAAAAACTAATGAATACCAAAACACTTTAGTTTAAATGTTACCGCCGTTTTCTTTTTTTTTAAGTTAGCTGTACATGTAGGTATTTTTAATTCTCGCAACTATGAACACTGGGCAGTTGGCTGTATGAGATTTTTTTTACGTGTTTACATAGTTCATTAAACTGACAGATGTAAAAGTTTAGAGAAGTAGACAGTAATGGGTTTTCATACTCACTTTGCAGGCCTTCCATAAATGATAACTTCCTTGTTCGTTTCTTGAAAGTAATGCAAACATTTCCAAACACGTTTAAGAAACAGATTTTTAGAACAATATCCGATTTCTATTACAAAATCCATTTTCATTTATTCGTAACTTAAATAATACTTGAAAATTGCAAAGGTGTAAAAACAATATGTTAATTGGAATTTAATAAATGTATCGTTCACGTTGATTTAAATGCTTCTCATTAGTTATACAAATGTTTACGTTTCATTTGATGGAATGTGACCTTTATGTGGTAATGTGGTTAATTGTATTTAGACGATCTTCATTGACATTAAGGTTAATTTTTTATTGAGTATCCAGTTTATTTATAACCATCTAATAGAATAAAATAAAATGACTCGTTTATTTCTTCAAAATGAATGGAGTGCTGTGTGATAGAGACCCAAGTTGCAACTTAAGATTGCGCATTGCACGCTGTTACGTCTTCTCAGTCCTACTATATGGCATAGAAACTTGGACACAGAAAGAACAGAAAGGAAGTTAGAGGCTTTTGAGATGTGGGTTTATCGTCGTATTATGAGAACTTCGTGGCATGACCGGGTTACAAAATTGTAAAAGTACGGCACTCCTGGTTGAAAAATTTGATGGAATGGTTCTGCTGCAATACCAACTCGCTCTTTAAAGCGGCAGCTTCTAAATTCAGGATTTGCCATGATGTTGTTCAACCTCCGATAGGAGAGGAACCTTGTTACTGTTTCTTTCTTTCTTTGAATAAATATTATTATTATTATTATTATTATTAACCCCAAGAAGACGAAGAAAATATTTCGAAAAAAACTTAAAAGTAATTTTACCTGAGCAGTTATAAAACCAAAAAAAGGACCACAGAAGGTTAAACAATAGCATGCATTGTCTGCAAAATTTTTAAACTGAGTTACAAAAACATTTGCATTACAATTTTATGTTGCATTTTAAATTTTCACATTATATAGTATCTCTTAACTCAGCGTGCCTCTTGGCTCCTGCTCCAGATCTTTCCAGAGAGCTCTATCAAGTTATAGCTACTCTTCCGAAATAGGGACCCTCAGTCAACTTATCCTCCCATCTTTGATGCTGACGCACTCTAATACGCTTTTCATCACGTGGGTACCAATTTGTGACTACTTTGCTCCATTTTTACGACTCACGTAACAGATGTCCAGTCCATCTCCATTTTGCTTAGTCTACCTTTGAAAGCATGTCGATTAGTTTGGTTCGTCTCCTGATTGTCCCTATCTACCGACCCGAGAGATAGGGAGTTCCGGGGAGACTACGCGCTCACCAGTAAGACCAGGGGTACGGCGGGCGTCCGTGTCAAGCCATCCGTCAGTGATACGCCTTCACAGGCGTCTCAGTCGGACCCGGACATGAGTATGGACTCGCCGGAGTTTGTGGTTAGCAGTACGGATGGACACTTTCATTTGCTCTGGTAGCATGTAACCGGGGCGTTCATCCTACGCGCAACTAGAGCGTCTTAGTACCGGTCTAAATTTGGGCCTAAGGTGAGGAGACGCACGGAGCACGTGAGTTGTCCTTTAAGTTGGAAGCTATGTCCGAACATTGTCACAGGACATTGCGACCGGCATCATCTTCGGCACTAGCCCGGAGAGCTAGTAGAAGAGGAGGAGAGCTAGACCTCCGGTTCCTCCGGTTCCGGGAACTGGAGAGACGCTGCGGCGTCGGGAGGTGACAATTCTGACAGATCCGCCACCAAAGAGGAGATTTGGCAGTGGACTTTGTAGTCAACGGCTTAGCGGTGGCAACCGTTAGTTGTGCTATGCACAACGGGAAGTGAACGTGCCTACAGCTCCGGTACCTATTTGAAGAATAAGAAGGGAGTTGTACGTGCACCCGCGGCAGCTCACCCAAGGCCAGTCCTTTTGAGAACCGGATGAAGACTGTGTAAACGGATTATACAGATTATAGTGACCTTCTCGTATACCCTAAAGGTCGGTAAGGATGGTCTTCTTAGTCGTTATCTTCGTTGCTGAAGGTCGTGTCCCCGAATGGTTTTGATACTTTATGGACGATTTTCTTCCATCTGGGTCTGTCTTCAGCCTCTCGCAGGGCAGTCGTTATAGGGAGGCCAGTGAGTGCGGTCACTTGGTCACTCCATCGGTTAGATGAACGACCGCAGAGTCTCTTTCCGTCCACCTTACCCACCAGAACCAGTTTGTCAAGGTTGTCTGGTTGTCGGCGAGCAATATGACCAAACCACTGCACTATTTTCCCAAGAGATCCCATGAATGGTACAACGAAAAGGGAGTATAAACCAAACTTATGCTGAAATCATTGGGTCACCCTTGAGTGTTTTAATAATTATGAAAAGAGAATTTATTGTATGTATTCGTATGTGAGCCGTGCTAGCCTAATTGTTTGACCAACCGCCTTTCAAGCAAGAGGTCGTCAGTTCAAACCCGGACTCCTATCTCTTGAGTTTTTCGGAATTGACGTGAGAAATTTAAATTGAAGGAAAACGTCGTGCTGAAACTTGCATGTCGGAGAAGGTGAAGTCTCCGATCCGAATTGGGCCAGCGTGACGGACTATGACCTAAACCCTCGCCTGAGAGGAGACTGTGCTTAGCAGTGGGACGTATAAATGGGTTGATTGATTGATTCGTCTGTGAGGTGCTGCCTGTTATTAAACTAGGGAATATCTCGTTGAAGCCCGGCTACATGCCTTCATAAAAATACAAGTATTTGGTATCTAATTATCACTCGCTTTTACAGAGTAGGTAAATATTTTGACCGAAACTTGTGTGGCAAATAATTACGTATCTCATTGAAAATATGACACCTGTGAAAGTCGAAATAATTTATTTTTCATCGCACTTGCTCGTAAATAGTATGATTGCATGGTGGCCCTTGGGCCTTTTTCTTCCCATTACGACCACGGTCGTTATGGTGTTATCTTTATTTGTAGCACGACATTCTTCATTCTTCCTCATGTAGGTCAGGTTCAAGCTCAAGCAAGGAGGATACTTAAGTTCAAAATTAAAACATTCACTTAAAATCTTATCTAAACAAAAATTTAATTGCAATTCAGACACATGCTACTTAAATACTTACCTATTTTTAAGAATCTCTTCTAATTGATTTTAATTATTTTCTGTATAAAAATTTGGCTGTATGCAAGTTTGCTTTTTGCAACATTTTAGTTCGAGTTGTATTATCTATGGAAGAATAGCTAGCTCGCCATCTTTTGATGAAAAAAAAACCCGCCACTTGCAAAATCCATAATTGTTGTGTTATGAACCATATTTATTCTTACAAGATGTTATCTGTGCTAACCCTTCACAATGACGCCGCCGCATAGCAACAGTGATTGTGAAAGACCGGTGAATCATTAGTAAAATTAACGTTTTAGAGAACACTCTCGCTCAATCGCTGAAGCGAACCGGTCAATTAGCATAATTAGCTTTAAGGCAAACCTATGTAATACTTTCATTAATTACATCTTATAAAAGGACACAAATTGCCTTTTTAAAACCTCCTTCCGGCGGCTAGTTCCGTAATTAAGAAATAAATATTGTATTTATTTTCACGCAAATATGATGAAAAACATTGCATGTATCACGGACGGTAAAAAATACAAAACCCTCAGCCTTCGGCTTCGGGCTTTTAATGGACCCTTCTTGGTAATTTCTTATTTGCCGTTTTTAAGACACAATATACTATATTGCATACTCATATGCTATTACTATTGGGGTGCGTCGTTTCGGGCCTGAGGCAGTCGTTTTAAAATTTTTCAACAAGTTTATTTGTTTGTTTCCCAGATCACCCGGTTTTCGGGTGAGGACGAGAACCACATAAACAAGAAGCTGCCCAAAGAACTGCTGCTGAGGATCCTCTCATATCTGGACGTTGTTTCGCTCTGCAGATGTGCACAGGTACTGAAACTAAAAACGAAAAATATTCCATGGAATACGAGCGGCGACCTTCCCTATTAATGCCGCCAAACCGTTCTGGTTTTGAAGAATAAGGGTGCTGGTGAAAGTACAGACACATGGGACTTGTCAACTTGTGTCTCAGGGTGTCATAACTTGTTCGTCCCCTCGTTATCCTTAATCTACCTCGTTAATCTACTAAAAGTCGTCAAATAACCTCACACTTCCACACTCACAAACACACACACAGACACACAATCACCCACACACTCGGACACACACTCACTCACGCACTCAGACACACTCACTCACTCACGCGCGCACACATAATTTGTTTTACTTATTTTTTACTTCCTCCTCAGTACTTTGTATTTCGTCATTACTACTAACATGACTATCCTAGGGGTTGGGTGCCCGGAGACCCATATTACAAGCTCTGCTTAGTTTGGGCTCCAGTCTCCCACAATACATTACTCTAAGCTTACGGAATAATGTATATTTATTGTAACGTTTCTTTGTATTGTGTTGTGGAGATATTTATATAAAGATATTTATTATTATTATTATTATTATTATATCATTAAAAGAAAGAGATTACGAACCTGCAGGTCGGTTGAGAATCTTATATATCTCTGTTGTCGACCAATTGGATTTGTTTTCGTACGATTTGTTTTCATTTTTATTCACAATAACCGAATCGAATGTGGAACTGTCGTATTCGAAATCGAACCGAAATGACGTCACACCCGTACGATTGCTCGACTTCTCGACCGGCAAAGGCTACAAACGTTACTCAGAACACGAACCTCTTAAATTTCCTATTATTATAAATAAAGTCTGGGTTTTGTTCAATTTTATTGATTATTTTTATGCAAGTCTAATGCATTCCTATATTTTAGGCCTAAAAAGTTTTAAAAATGTATATGAAAGGATTTTTTATTTTATTATTTTTTAACTGCCTCCGTGGTCGAACGGTTACCATACCGAACTGCCACGCAGAGGTCCTAGGTTCGATTCCCGGGCCGGGAGAAATGTTTGTACGCCCTGCATTTATTTCTCTCGTAAGTTTGGATGTAATTTGTGGTTGTCTATGTGTGAGTCCATGGCACCCGCGACACAGGGTTTCCCTAGTGCGGGGTTATGTTGAGTGTGTGTGTACTTTATGTGTGTGTACTTTTAATTTTCCTATAATCTATTTCACCGACTTACTCCTTATTAGCTGTTGGATAACGGTACCATATCCGAATCCAAATCAAGCATTTAACTGGAATGTTCTGAATAGCTCGGAAACTGCCCTTCAATTCAAGAACGATATCCAGTCGAATGATTCGGTTAAAATATCGAAGAGTTCTGAATCGGGGTCCTGTTCTATATGGTCTGTCATTTTTGAAGATGGAGTTCAATGACATTTGCAGGGTTGCCAGTTTCCATAAAATTTTAATTAGTCATGTAGTTGTTCTCGACAGTTTTATCGATAAATTTTGAAAGAATGTTTGACGGCCTCTATGGTCGAATGGCTTGCACACCAGTTTTCATGATGTCGCCAACTCTGAGGTCCCAGGTTCGATCCCCGACCAGGTCAGTGTAGAAGCTAACTTTTCTATATTGTCTCGGGTCTGGGCGTTTGTGGTACCGTCATTGACTTACAATTATATGGACGTCGGGTCCGCGCTAAAAAGTGTCCGAACTTATAGGGCGTTAAAATCGTATACAGAGCGTCATTCACGCTTTAGTCTTCGTTTGTTCGACTGACAGCGAAGCAAGCAAAATTAGACAGTGCTGCGATGACATTACAATTTAAATTCAACGTTTTAGCTTTTTCATATTCCTTTACATGTCACTACGTTTAAATAGGTTGACTTGGGACATTTTTTCGTGGTTTTTGTATTAGACCCGTCGTCCATTTATTTCTAAGTCAATGGGTACCGTCCTTGTTTCTGATTTCCATAACACAAGTGCTATAGCTACTTACTGTGGGATCAGAGCAACGTTTGTGATGTTGTCTAATATTTATTTATTTATTATGTAAAATTTGTCAAAAATGTCTGTTTGTGAATGTTACGACGTTCTAATGGTTACTAATAATACAATAACGCAATTATTACGTTGGCCTACTAGTATCGAAATATTTTTTTGTTTATATACTCTTAACAAGAATTTGGTTACTTGTATTAAAATAAATTGATAAAACTTTAAAATATGTTTCCTCGTTGTATTTTTAATAGACACAGTTCTAAATGCAGTGTATGTATGTATTGTATAGAGTTTTTGAACAAGAACATTGTTATGTAAATCAAAATAAAACAATAAATTTAGATGACAATGATTTCATAATTTCATTGTATTAAAAAAGTAAGGTACAGTTACAGATGTCGATTCTTTCGTCAAGTTTTTAATCACTTTTTGACAAAATGGTGGGCCTATTTCGTTTATCACTTCACGAATTTTGAGTTTTAAGGCTGCAATAGATTCGATTGGCTCCGTATAGACTCTGTCTTTAACATAACCCCATAAAAAATGATCCAGCGGTATTAAATCACATGATCGAGCTGGCCGCTTAACGGCTGAATTTCGTAAAAATATGTGATCGGGAAATTTGGTTTCTGGCACCAAAATTAAATGTATCTGTGATGGAATTTCTCGCAACGCCGTATGAAATAGTGCAAAATGGTATTAAAAGGTGAAATCTAGAAAATTGAGATGGTACCGGTTGCCAGTTCACAGTCGATATTCAGACTGAATAGCCCCCTTTACACAGTCACTCTATCCCGCGTGATCAGGAGAGTACAGATTTGCTCTTGGGAAGGCCTGCACGCGCAATCGTGCGCGATTTCCTGTTTGGAATTTTTTAAGCTAACGTTCTTTCGCGTGCTATTGTTCGTGTTCGTTTTAGTTACGACGGATAGAGCGTCCGTGTAAGGGCTAATAGCGCAGGATAGACCGCGTGTTGGAGTGCGGCCCTTTTCCTTCCCAGGTGTTTACACGCGCGCTCAATTGCGCACGATGGCTTTATCACGCGCGATAGAATGTCTATGTAAACCATGCTAATTACGCGATGTGAAGACGTTAAATTTTATCAAAAATTATATGTCAAAATATTTTGTTACAGGTGTCAAAACTGTGGAATATTCTAGCACTGGACGGGTCCAACTGGCAGAGGATAGACCTGTTCGACTTCCAGAGAGATGTGGAGGTTTTGTAACATTTGTTTTTATTAATTGGTAAAACGTAGTTAAACAAAAAGGATCCAATGCACATCCAGTCACTTTCGAGATATGGCAGTTTGAAGTTTAAAGGTGTTTCTCATTCTTGTTTTATTTTCAAAACTTATAATGTCATGTTAATCCAGATATATTTATTTATGTTTATATGTTGGAGTTTTTGTTGATCTAAAAGGTTAGAATTGAATTTAGGAACCGTTTGATGTACCAAAAATGTTGTCACAAAAAAAGAGTTAATGGGTTCCTAAAACAGCTTCTTTGTACCTTATATGGTTTTTGGATTTTCCCGTACTGTCCCATTAAAAATAAAACACTCTATATTAGGTTTACACTTTACGTTTCATACAGCAATAATTGCTTAATACAATCTTATTTAAATTTTTGGTAAACATGAATATTCTAATTTTAGTTTTGAACATGGGCAGGGCGCCATTAAAAATGTCCATGTCTTCTATATAAAGCATATTGAAATATTTCCTTTATTTAATGCCGAGTAAATATTATATTTCTGAAATGAACAGTGTGTTAACTCTTCAAACATAAATCTCACTATCTTGACTCATCGCGTACTTAATTAGTCATTGTCCGATTATGGTGAAACCAAAAGGATTCTTGTGTTTCCAGCATATACGAGTACACTCTCACGGACATTTAACCCTTAAACAACGAAATGTCATCTGTCAGTTTAAGCACGTATCTTATTACACACCCCGTGCATCTCGCGTCTATTTAGGTTCAATCACCGAGTATATAACTAGAAATAGAGACGAAATAACCATCCAATCCATCCCTGGCAACTCATCAACTACCTCCGTGGCCGAACGGTTACCATGCCGGACTGCCACGCAAAGGTCCCAGGTTCGATTCCCGGGCCGAGAGAAATATTTGTATGACCTACATTTATTTCTCTCGTGAGTTTGGGTGTAATTTGTGGTTGTCTATGTGTGTGTCCATGGCACCCGCGACACAGGGTTTCCCTGGTGCGGGGCTATGGTGAGTGTGTGCGTTATTATTATTATTATTAGGCAAATGGGCCTTATATCACTTTTAAATATCAACTCTTGTTTGCGCAGAACTCACAAATTAGAAAGCTGGAATAGTACAGCGCCAACAACTGACCTGTGTGTACGTCTCCGTATATTCCAAAAATATTCTGTATTTAGTGTAATAAAGATAATATCTCTAACTATGGGGGCTATTCCGTTCGGCGGTGTGGGAAAAACAGCAAATCTCCTAATTACAAAACAAACAGAATCACATTTCATCAATAATTAAATATGTAATTTTTCAATTTTCGTCCATTATAGCAAAGCTCAAGTTGAACTGGTCGATTTGAAGTGAAACAATTGACGAAACCCGTCAATTGTGTGGCCAATCGGAGTGCAGTTGTCACCGTTATGATTTGGCGGAATAGTTTTCAAATAAATTAAATGACATTTCGTCTCTATTTCTGGTTATATACTTGATGGGCTCAATTTATATTACGGCGTGACGAAATGGAAGCGATTATGCAATGCCACTCAGAGCTTTATATCGCAAATCTGAGGGGCACTGCCACTGCGCCCGTCACTAAGAGACTTAAGTTGACAAGTCCCATGTGCGGGTAATTTCACAAGCACGCTTTTAAACCGGAACGCAATAATGCTGACATTACTGCTCGGCGGCAGAAATAGGTAAGGTGGCAGTACTTCCCGGGACAATATCTTTCTCAATGAGCTCTATTGCTACTAAATACAGATATGTTAATAACTCAATTTCGTATTAAATTCGTAGAATATACTAAACCCTCTGTGACAGCTGGGGGTCGAGTCAGAAGGCCTAAAATATACGAGAGCATTAGTCTTACATAAAAAATAAATTAATAAAATTGAACAAAATCCAGACTTTATTTCAAATAATAAAAGACTTTCATATTACATTCTTACTTTGTAAACAATAGGTCGTTCGGTAGCTTCCATTCGATAACTGTGTTCTAAATAACCTTTGCAGCCTTTGTCGGTCGAGAAGTTCGAGTAATCACACGGCTGTGACGTCATTTCGGTTCGATTCCGAAAAAGACAGTTTGATGTTCGATTCGGGTGTTGTGAATAAAAAGATCGACAACTGAGTGAATAATTTAGTATATTTTTTTTGTAAGATTTGTATAAGACTAAATGTTGTCCTAAATAAATAAATAAAAATTATGTCTTTTGCGAAAAAAAACTGGTTTCAAGTTAAAAATATTTTTTTTATAACTAGTATTAAAAAAATATTTTTATTGTTATTTGTTCCAGGGTCCAGTAATAGAGAACATATCACAACGGTGTGGAGGTTTTTTGCGGCAGCTTTCTTTACGAGGCTGCGAGAGTATAGCGGACGGTTCTATGAAGACTTTAGCACAGGTAAACTGTTATAAACAAAATAAAGTCTGTGTTTTGTGAAGATGGAGTAAAATGACAATTCATAGCGCAAAAGTGTTGCCCGCTTGCGAGCAGCCAGTGATTACAGTCGATAAATATTCTATCGACTATCGACTGAATGTTGGTTACGCTTGATATTTGAATCATCCTCGACTCATTATTCATCCAATTACTGAGCACAAGTTCATTTGAATTGTCAATTTTTGTAAGTATGTATGAACTTGTACTTCGAATTATGTTTATGAACAATGCAAAGAGGGGACATTTTTTAAAGTTTTTCATTTTAATTCAATGTAGATAATAAAATCCAGCTATTCTTGTTAAAACGTATATATATATAAAAAGACCTCGTTACTGTAGGCCAACTGTCAAAATAAGAATAAAGAAGGCAATAACACAATTAGTATTAATATTAGTACGTCATATAATTCACAATTCACTCATTATTGACAAAATTTTATCTTCTGTCACAACCTCTATCGATGAAACTATCGACAACGACTACATAACTATTTAAAATTTTATGAAAACTGGCAACCCTACCAATGTCATTTTACTCCGTCTTCAAAAAAGACAGTCTATAAAACCTCCAAAACTAGTAAATTAAATTTTGAAGGTTTTGTGCGAGACAATTGACACGACCATAACGTCCAAAGCGAAAATGGCGGACTATTTATTGAAATCGATTATCGGAAATTCAGTAAACCGTATTCATCCCCTAATTAGCCACCCTTAGAGGTAAATGAAACCACTACTGAGGTACCCCCTTTCCAATAAAAAAAGAATCATTAAAATCGGTTTACATATAAAAAAATCGAATTGGAAACGTCCTTTTTGCAAAACGCGAGAAAACTCGCAACGAGAAATCCGCGGGTAATAATGTTCCCGATACTACGAACATCTCTACCCACAAGCCTGAAAAGTGTTACAAACGACGAAACGTTTATTACCCGACTGAAACTCCTTTTATTGGATAATGAATTCTACAGTGTGGATGAGTTTTTTTTGAAACAATTGTAATTTTGTTTTACTTGACTTTGTTGAACTTAGACAAGCTGTAGTTATACTACTTTACTTAATGTACATTGTTATTGTTTGCATTAGTGATGACCATTTTATCCCTTGACATTGAATTGTAATATTGTGACATTAATAATATGAAACAAAAAATAATAACGCACACATAGACAACCACAAATTACACCCAAACTCACGAGAGAAATAAATGTATTCCATACAAATATTTCTCCCGGCCCGGGAATCGAACGTAACCATTCGGCCTCGGTTAAATGATTCTATTCTTTTGAAGTCGATTAAAAGTATGTTTATATTGTACAAGGTCTAGAGCACGTCCAACTTGACGCTTATTTAAATCGAACTATATGCGGCTTACGATAAGAACGGTCCAAAGTACAAAGTGTCAAGCTTGACGTATGCTTGACTGTACCTATGATTTTTTATTTTTGTTTACAGTCCTGCCCCAACATAGAAGACTTGAATTTGAACAAATGTAAAAAGCTAACAGATCAGACTTGTCAAGCTCTAGGCAGGAGGTGCACTAAATTACAAAGGTACGTTTGAAATTGCTGTATCCCTGGTTCAAAATCTCCCTCTAGTTAACAAAGTCAAATAATCTGTATTTCATTGGTAAGTAAATTACATTTGGAATCTTATACTGATTAAACTCTACTGCTCATGTATTGCCCATTAAATGAATTTGTGACTTTGTGAAGACGACTATCAAGAACAGCTGGTTTATTTTTATTCCTCGTATTAATGTTAAGTTTGTCACTATTTTTTTATAAAAAAAATTAAACACATAACATTTTCATAAATGTACCGTGACGTTAGTGTAAGAATGCTAATCTCTTTAAACTTATCTCTCTAAGTGTCGTATTCCAGAACTCTACTCAATGCTCAAGTCAGGACTTGAGCAGACTTGAGTATGATTTCAAGCACTGGAAATACGACCCTAATGGCAAGGGCTTGAGTATGATTTTCAGTGCTCAATGCAATACTCAAGTCCTGACTTGAGTATTGAGTAGAGTTCTGGAATATGACCCTTAGACTCTCTCGGGCCCAGATTGTAAATTGCCCTAACAGCATGTTTCTGCAGGACAAAGATTCTATTAATATCCGCGGCATTGCCCCAAATCAAAATGCCGTACGTCATTAAACTGTGAAATTGCCGAATTAAAACGATAATAATAATGTAATTGACAACTACACTTTATTACCGGGTCTCATACTAGGCAATCCCTTGTGCCATGAGTACTGGAGCCACACAACTACCAAGAACACCCAAAAAAACTGGAACCAATTTAGAAAAAATCATTTCCCGAATTGGTCTTACTGGGAATCATTCTCGGGAGATTCTTATACTGGTTATTTGTAAAGTACAAATACGGGGTAATAAATTTTAATTAATAATATATTTGCATTAAGTACCGTTAACAACTAAAATGTTTTTAAATTTAATAATTTATTTATATGTGGATGTGTGCTATTGCGTTTTTCGAAAAACCCAACCATAAACCCTAGTTGCCAAACTTACCACCGTTTTCGTTTAACATTTTCTATTTATAATTATTAATACAAGGATCGAACACTCAGAAAAAATTCCTTCGATCCGATAGGATTCGAATCGACGTCTTCTAGCATACCGTGCCAGACGCTATGCCAACTAAGCCACGGAACGCACCAGCAGACCTCACGAATGTCTTTGTATTTGGTTTTTCAACGACTTTTTAACCTTAGCGCCACCTATGAGAAATCTTAAGTATTTCGTCACCCAGTTAGATACCTTTACAGCTACCAGCCCTGGCTAGAGATGTCGCTATTTACTGTATTTAAATTTTTATTGAATTGATATTCAAAACGCTATTAAGTGATTAGTTAGTGTAGCGTCTGGCATGGTATCCTAGAAGACGTCGGTTCGAATCCGGCCGGATCGAAGGAATTTTTTCTGAGTGTTCGATCTTAATATTAATAATTATAGTAAACTAGTGGAGTAATTTCACAAGAAATAAATGAATATCAATTCAACAAAAAAATGTAAATTTTCTATTTATTTATTTTTGCAAATAAATGAGAACATTTTTGTTAAAAATTTGAAAGGACGCGATTAATTGTCACAAATCTACCCAAGGATAAACACTTTTGCCATCAACGTAGTGTTAAAAAAAAGACTAGTGCCACTTTCACTTTTAATGTTAAAACTATTTAGCCATTAATGTAGTCTTAAAAAAGTGTTTTTATTCTTTCAGGATAAACTTGGACTCATGTCCTAGCATAACAGACATATCGCTCAAATCTCTGTCAGACGGATGCCCAGTGAGTATATATTTCTAGATTTTAGGAGCTAGTGACTCAACCATCGTCACCGCAGGTTGATTTGCATAGAGTAAATAGCTGATTCATGCCCAGACAATGAGCTAATGTAAATTCTAAAATATTTCGTCAGTGGAAAGGTAAAGAATTTAATCTTAATTCATGACACTTATGTACATGGTTGTAAAAGAAACAATGGAAATGCCTTTAACCTCGATTACTATCGGAATCGCTGTCTCCAAAACTGTTGAGTTTTAATTCATCATTTTTAACACTATGAAACCTCGATAATGACAGGTCATAGTTTGTACTTGAAAAAGAAGTAACAAATTCGGGACTGTTAATATAATTTAAACTTAACATTGATGGCCTATCGTTGAAAGTCGTTTTGATATATTATATTGAAATTTCAATCAATGTGCTGCCATCTAACGGTCAATAGCTGAACAATGACGAACGTAGAAAATTTGAGATGTTTACTTAGTTTTTCAAAAAAGAAGCGGCAATATTGCAGTGGTATAAGGTTTACATAGTTTCTCACATAACGTAACATAACGTTTATTACGGTAAACAGAAACTTGAGAATTTATTAAAATTAAATAAAGTAAGACTTAATGATGATATGAAACACCACCATAGATTGCAAATTAGCAAAATATGACACTTTTCTACGATTTTCGAGTTATGGAACATGGAGAAAGAGTACATTAAATATTGTTGTTCCGTTACATCACTTAGGGTCCAAACTGGAAGTCAGTGCTGCAAAAACGTTGCATTTTCCAGCAAATACTGACCTAGTAACCCTTTTGTTACTGCACCTGGCACCACACAAAATATCTTTATACTTATTTTGTTTAATGTAAATAATCTGTAGTTTAAATTAGTTTTTGTTTTGTATATGATTTTGTTTTGTAATTATCAGTGATCGGAATTAAAGGGGTTAATCTACCTAAAGAACGTTTTCTTAGTACGGGCATAACGACAGCTTCGTCAATGCGTATAAAATTTCATTTTTTATTGTTTATTTTCTAAATATTCCAAAACATAGTCTCATGTTTATTTTTTAAATGGCTAAAGTATGTAAGTACCTACAAAAACACAATTACAATATTATTAGGAAATGAAACTATTTACAGGTCCCATGGACCTGGGACCTGTGAAGGGCCCGAAACGTCGGTTTGTTTGAAAAAACAAATATACGCGATCTAAATCCGGAAAAATAGTTTCATTTCCTATGTGTCGCGAAAGCCTAAGAACTCGATACAATATTTTTTTTGAGACAATAATTTTTAGCAAATATTTAATAGAAAATAATTATTTATCGCCAACGTACTCAAATTTCAATAAATAATACGCATATTCAAATATAGTCAGTTGCGAGAAGTCCCGGAATTTGTTGAAAGGAATATATAACGTGGAAACACATTCTTCAGTTTAGCTAAACGAACTTAAGTTTGATAATATTTTTAATACACATTTTTTTTCTATTTTGTTTCTTTTTTACTTCCTCTGTGCTGGTCATTTGTGGTGAAATGAAAATGAAGAAACATTTGTGAAACAAAGTCGTGTTTCGAAGAAGTTTTACACCCCCTGGTAAAATCTATCTATAAACTCTCTTAGAGATAACTTATGCCCATTTGTGGGGCTGATAAAGATACAAAAATCGAATCGGTTGATTGTTTTTTTTAGAACAAAATATTAACTTAGACAACACGCTAATAGCGCCACACATATCTAAATTCCTTGTTAATATTTGGGTATGTAATTCTATTTCAGTTACTCACACACGTGAATGTGTCATGGTGTCAATCAATCACTGAGAACGGTGTAGAAGCTCTCGCTAGAGGATGTCCAAAGCTTAAAAGCTTTATCTGTAGAGGTTTGTCACATTTTAACAATTATTATATTTATGGTCTTAAAAATACGTCCTCTTACTAACCGTCTCGTTTATTCTACTCTGAGTTTGGATTCAAGATCAAAAATGTAAACAAACAAATGTCGCTGTCAAAGTGATATCTCATGGATTACGAATTTTTTCAAGTTCGTTTATTAACAGAAAAAGAATAATTGTTATGGAAAAAACGCTTCTTGTTTTGTTTAAAGCTTAATAATTTATTATTGTTCAAACGTCTACCTGTTTATAATACAAGAACGTTCTGTTACGTCATCAGTAAGGCATCAAAAACTCTAAAAAATAAAAGAATTGTTTCTTACACTTCTGATCTCGAAATCCACTTATGTCTTTCTGTCTCTTAAATAATAAACAGTTAGCGTAGCAATTTCGCAGTTAAAATTTAGTTCGTGTAACCAAAAAGGACCATGAACCAATAACACAACGTAGTCCGGTATTTAGTACCTATTGCTACACCAAATGTCGCGACGAGTACCAAATAAATTTTAAAATAGCTATTTTTGTAACTAAATTGATTTACATTGACAAGCTGCAATTTATCAAAGCTACTGTTTTGTTAATTTGTAAATTGTTAATTTAAAAGTGTAATTAATAAATGCATTTAATAAATAAATTTGTTAACTAATTTAAAACTTGTATTTTATTATATTATTTTTTATATATAAAATATATTATTAAAGTGGCCGTGTGTAGCTCTAACCAGAGTTTTGCTAAAAACGAAGAACAATCAAGCTAAAAATTGTTTTTAACATACCGCCGAGCAAACACTGCTGTATGCCAAAGTTGTATAACGAATTTGTTTGAATAACTGAATTATTTTTTTTATAATGCCTTTAGCAACTTGCGATCGGTCTATGAACCATGAACAATTGTTTTGTTGTGATCTATTTAGCGTGTTAGGCTGCCTTCATATTTCAAATGACTTTATTATATTTTAGTTTTATATATTTTTTTAACAGGTTGCAAAAGCGTAAATGACAGAGCGGTGTCCTGCTTAGCAACACACTGCCCGGACTTGGAGGTGCTTAATGTACAGGGTTGCGATGTAAGTTTTACAATAATAGCTTAAATAAATTTATTAAGATCAGAGATGGACCATGACGAGATGGATGGACGCTTTATTAATTTGCGTAAATTTACAACTAAATATTTGTTGTAAATCGAGTTTTGTTCAAATTAAATGTTAATTATTTTCTGCTCCCGTAGCATTTTAAAAGCATTGTAAAAGTTTATCACGGTAGCGAACATTGCGAGCACCGTGACGTCACATTTTTATGTCATCACGAACGCCGTCGACCAATGACTGCAAAAGATTAACACAGTGCCAAAGATGGCTGCAAAGTCACAGCTTGATTTAAAACATTTGCACAATAATTTTATCAACTTAAAAATTGAGCGCGACAAACGAAAACAAAAAACATTTTTTGTTTCATGGTTTTAGCGGCGATGATTAAACGATAAAGATAGCTATATTTTATTTAAAGATAGATATATTTGTCAACTGAATTAAATTTATCTTGAAGAAAATTGTCACAAGAGGAGGTTTATTACTATAAAATATATGATTCGCATTGAAGTAAATCGACACTGAAAATCGTCAGATCGTATCTTCATAAAAATCTATACGAAATGTGCATTCTTAGTAGTGAAAGTAAGGATTGCTAAGTGGGTTATGCGTGTTGTTGCCTCTTTTGCGCCTTAAAAAGATTTTTTGCGTCGAAATTTGTAATAAGTGTGGAATTATACTACACAATACTAACTTTAACTACAAAAATACATTAAAACCGCTTTAGATACAAATCCGAGCGGATTGATTCGGCTTTAACCCACTGCCCATCGCTGATTGAGACAGATCCGTTATCACGAACAGAAATATTCTTATTATTGATACAAAGATAGAATACTTACAAAGAAAAATTCTAGCTATCTGACCGGATTGAACCAGTTTTTGCTTATTCCGTAGCCAAGTGGCCAAAAAAATCCTTGTTATGCTTTTTACGGGACTTAACACAGGAGATAATAGAAATCGGTGCTCACAGCTTAAAGTATGTTGAGGTAGAGAAAAACGCCTACAATTGCAGCAAAGCAAAATAAACCATTAAAATAATTGGTCCTTACAAAATTTAGGCTCTATTTATAAAATGAATGCGTGAACATTCCGTCGGCCGTTGAAAGCTTGTCTTTCAACCGGTAATACTTGCTTCAGGAAGTGAAAATTTTTAAAAAGTATCTCCCCTACATTTCCTGTAGAAGTTTTGATATCGGCCACTCTATTAACGCCATCACTACCAGGAAACACAGCTATAACTCGACCCAATTTCCATTTTAACCGTGACTGGAAAACTACTAGAGCATTCACCTTCAATGCGTCTTTACGAGTATCGTCTCTTTTATCCACAATCTTGTTTTAATTACAGAGTCTAACGGACGAATCGATATCAAAACTGGGTCAAGCGATGCGTCGCCTCTGTGTATCAGGTTGCACTCAGCTCACGGACGCATCTTTATCCTCGCTGGCCACTCACTGTCCGGATCTGGTGACTTTAGAGCTGGCACAGTGCTCGCAGCTGACTGATGCCGGGTTTCAGGCTCTTGCTAGGGTAAGTTAATTTTGGGGCAAATGGGAATTTGGTGGGTAAGATGGATATTTGTAGGGATAAATGGACGGTTTTCTAGGGTAAGTTCATTTTGGGGCAAATGGGAATTTGGTGGGTCAGATGTAAATTTGTGGGGATAAATGGAAATTAGTACAGACAAGTAGCAATTTGTAAATTATTCCCAACCCAATTGATTAGGTTACGAACAACGAAAATTTACAAATTTTCGTTCCAAGTTTAAACTAAAAACGGTATTATTGGATCTGGTTAACTAGTCGCTATCGAAACGAATATTAAAAATAATATTTCGAATTTATAGAGGCAGAAGGGAAATTGCCGAGGTAAAGGGGAATTTATTCAGACAGTCTGGAAAATGTGGAGATAAACGGAAATAATGTGGGGTAAACGAAAAAGTAAAATATAATATAATGAAACGAAGCGAACATAGAGGATATGAAAAGAATCTTAAATAATTCTTTAAGAAAAACAAAGACAAGCATTTTTTTTTTCATTTTTAGCATGTTATCAAGCGACGGAACGAACAAGTCGTGCGCCCGGTGGTAAGCGACACGCCTATCCATGACAGTTGCAGTGCCAATCAGAGCAAATACCTGTGGGGAACTGCCACTGTGTCCGTCACCTCGAGACATAAGTTGACAAGTGCTATATGCCTGTCCCATATACCCTTAATGCTTAAATTACTGCTTGGCGGCAAAATAGGTGAGGTGGCAGTACTTCCCTGGACGAACTCTTTTGCAAAAGCTCTACTGCTACTAATGGGTAATTCGAAGAAAGACATAACATCCGGTTTTTGCATAATGTTATGTAATTTAAAGTAACATTTGATGGAGAGGTTAATGTAGTAGTAATATGTTCTCTAAGTTTGACAAATAATTATTAGAAACTATTTAAATGGCAACACTATCAAGAGTTTCATCATCATCATCAACCCAATTATGCGTCCTACTACTAGACACGGGTCTCCTCCCAAGCGAAGAGCCATTAGGGACTTCACAAATTTTCCGAGGGTTGTGCACATTTTTCGACGTGCAGGTTTCAACACGGAAAAGGTCATGGTAAATTTCAAATTAAATTTCGCCCGGATTTGAACCCACAGCCTCTGTTTGAGAGGCGGTAAGTCAAACTAATAGGCGACTATGGTTTATATTATACGATCCTTTGCGTAGAGGAATTATTGTCTTCAATATTCCATTTTATCCCATTAAACGTATTTGAGTCGATCCAGTGGCGCACGTCACACATTCTCAAAAAAAAAATCGACCATATTGCAGCGGTATAATATTTTTAGACTATCATTTTTGCAATCATATGGTAATTTTCTACTATTGTCAAAGTTTTGCGCTAGACAATGGACACGACTATAACGAACACAGTGAAAAGGACTGAGCTCAAGTATGTTGAACTACGCGTTCTGTTGGCACACGTACCCCACCCTATAAACATTTGTACTGTATTTATTATTCTGTGATTCCCGTCATACTTATTACGATAATATGTTACACTGAAATTCTTATTTATTTATCGCAGAGTTGCAGATTGTTGGAACGAATGGATTTAGAGGAGTGTGTGTTGATCACGGACGCCACTCTCACGCATCTCGCTATGGGCTGCCCTCGGCTTGAGAAACTGGTTAGTACATTTCGCTGCAGGTTTCTTTTTATGATACCGAGTGACAGGATGAACAATTCGTGCGCCTGATGGTAAGCGACACGCCTGTCCATAACAGTTGCAGTGTCACTCAGACCCTTCAAAACCGGAACATAGCAATGCTACTGCATAGCGGCAGAAATAGGTGAAGTGGCTACTGCCACTTGTGAAAAATTAAATAAAAATTGTGAAAAAGTTTTTTCTTAAACTTTTTCACAATGAAGCTCTACTGCTACTGTTAATTTTGTGTTGAGACGAAAAGTTGAATTTTGAATACTATTAATAAAACGTTTAAATTTTCGGTTATCTCTTTGTTTAAAGACAAGAAGGGATCATTATATCCGGCTCGAAGGACCAACATGTACGAGCTGCTTGCCTCGTAAAGTAATATGTCAGGTGATATCAGCGAGATGATGCAGGGGGATGTCAAAGATGCTGTAGAAATAATACTCGACCGATAGCACGGAGTAACTTTATTGTTCTAAAAAGTATAATTTATAAATTTTTCACATTGTCAGTTGTACAACAATGTACGTTGACCCGTACATCAATAATATACCTCAATCCAAATTCTACAAATACTTGACAAAGAACCTAGAAACGTGTAGTTTTGCTAGAATATGTAAACACCACTAAGTAGCAATGTAAATAGGCAGCTAGGCAAATACGGATATGGATTCAAGTTCTCCGTTATTTCTCGTTTCAGACGCTATCCCACTGTGAATTAATCACAGATTACGGAATAAAGCAGTTATCCATGTCGCCATGCGCAGCAGAACATCTCACAGTGCTTGGTAAGATATTTACAATTTATCTAAGTTACACACCAGGGACGGATAAATGGATTAGTGATATATCTATACTTTGTCCAACCAATTTGTTTACTATAATTCTTAATTAAACAAAGATGGTACACTTAGAAACAATTCACTTCGACCCGTCTCCCAGCAGACGCTATACCAACTAAGCCACGGAACGAACTAACGGACCTCACGAAATTTTCCATGTGTTTGTTGCAGGCCTTTGTTTTGATTTTTAACGACTTATTTGCCGTAACGCCATCTGTGAGAAATCTATGAAAGTTTTTCGACACTCAGGGAGGTACCTTTACAGCTACCAATCGCTGACTAGAGATGTCACTTTAATCATTGTAATTAAGTTTTGTTGAATGTCAAAATATTTCAACACCGTGATATTCATTTTTTTTGTGAAATTACTCCATTACTTTGTTATAATTATTAATACAAATATCGAACACTTCTATGAAGAGAAACTTTCATATATCTCTCACAGATGGCGCTACGGCAAACAAATCGTTAATAATTATAACAAACTAGTAGAATTTCACACATCATGGACGCTGTTTTTTCTTTACCAGCCCTACTCTTACATTTATTTCAGTAGGGATTTAAACCGCGGGAAAATAACACGATACCGGTGTTGCCGTTTTATATATTGAAATTATATCTAAGCTAATAGAAAAACAATCCTGACACTACATTCACTATACGACACCCCCACACTGGCGCATTTCGAGCGTTCAGCCAACGCTAAACGCTAAACTCTAAAGAAGAAGATGATTATTTCAGTTGAAAGTGATTTATGGAATGTATGATTGTGGTGAATGCTTACTTTTTCCCTGTAACATATTTTAAATACACTTTTTACGTCACAGGTCTAGACAACTGTCCACTAGTGACAGACGGAGCTCTGGAACACCTGATCTCCTGCCACAACCTCCAGCTGATCGAGCTGTACGACTGCCAACTCGTTACTAGAAATGCTATTAGGAAACTTAGGGTAAGTTCTAATAGTATCACCATTATCAACCCATATAAACGTCCCACTGCAGGCGTGGGTTGGGTGGGCTCCGAGATGGAAACTCCATGGTGCGTGCTCGAATTGGAACCCATGGCATCAGCTTGAGGTCAATTGAGGGGTATAGAAACAAAGTCCACTCTGTCCTAGAGGATCCAAATCGAGAAAACGAGATCTTTTCATTTCAACATCATCGTGCTGTATATCGTCACCAAACAAGAGGCCAAAGGCTATACCCGTGTAAGGGAACAAAATATGCCCCTGACGTTAT